CCCCCCCCCCCCCCACCTCTTCGCTTTCTCATCAAAAATTTAACAGTCATTTCGAGGGGTTTGGGCCGAATACTGTTCAAAAATTGGATGATTCATACATTTTGTACTGACAGTTTTCTTTATATATACACTACACTATGTACACTCGGTCCAAAAGGGAACAATAAAACTATCCCTGGAAGGGGAGGGAAGGAAATAGTGGTCGAAGCATTAGCCTGGGAGTCTGGGACCAGGCTCCGCATTGGCGAGCCGAGCGGTAGTCTGGGGAGAGGAAAGGGTGGCGGAGCCTGGAAAAATAACTTTGATGCCGCCGTTCGGCCCATAACCCGTCATTTAAATTTCAACAGGCCAAGTTCTCATCACGGATGCCACCGTGAGCGTATTCCAAAAAGTATATACTGTGTTTGAATTCCCTCGAATAAAATAGAGTGCAAGGTAATCTACTTCAATTCGATCGCTAACTGGACTAACACCAGGGGGAGGGGGCGTCCGTCTAGTCTGTACACAGGCTAATGATAATGTACCAGACAGAAATATGGCTCGGTGGAGTTTATTTTCAGCGGAGGAAATATGCCGTGTAAGTTAAGCACCTTATGCGAAAGTTTAGTTCGTGTGTATTCTGGTTGGATTTTTTGTACGTTTTATGGGAATGCTCCAAATCGCGTAAAAGTCAGTAATTATTATTTCCCGCAATCGCTGTTATCTCTGCCTAACCTTGCCAAGAATTTTGTATAGCTTGCTCGAAATCCGTGTTTAAAAGGAAAAATGTTTTCCCAAATTGAAAAAGCGTAATATTTCAACTGTAGCAATACCGCGAATGTGTCAACATTAAGACATTTGACCAATCAGATCATGATACCAGAATCTGGTATCATGGAACGGCGGCATCAAAGGCATGTCTCCAGGCACCACCACCCTTTCCACTTCCCCAGTCCACCGCTCGGCTCACTTCGCTTTTTTTTTTTTTGCCGTTTTTCCCCGTTTTTTTCCTTCTCCACCCCCCCCCCCCCCCCCCCTCCCAACAGTATCTTCCCTTTTTTTTTTCATTCTACTAAAATACACTCTCATTCATTTAATCATTTCCCTATCCACCCTCCACTCTTCACAATAACATAAACCCCCTTGTTACATTACATACCTTTTTTTTCTTCCCCCCCCCCCACCCCCCACTGCGTAAGGAGTTAGTTTCCATTTTTAAACATATCTGAGCCAAAAGCCTCCTTATGATCTGACACGGACTATGGACCCCTCCTTTCTACTACATAGGTACTACCAGTTTGTCTATAATTGACAACCCTTCATTTGCCTCCAAGCCAGAACTGAGTTGTAGAATTAGAGCCAGAAGAACAGCGATGTAAGGAATTATAATGAACATAATGACCAAAGTTGTCTTCTCGATGAACGGAGCCTGTTTTTCCGTCAAACTCGCAATTCTTAAAGTGGGTATCAGTATGCAAAGAATAAGCGCCTTTTTGATTCCAGAGAGGTACAGTGCAATTGAAACATTCATGTCCACGGATGTTTATGAATTCGAACTGGAAGCACGTACCATGTTCTTTCTGCATGGTAAGTATGTTGCAATCTGCCAGGGATGTTCGCATGTAATCTGTGTACACAACTCCGTCGGTATCATAGCGGCAGGTAGCTCGCCAGTGAGTGGACTGGGCCCCAAGCCATGCCAGGTACGCTGGGCGGATCAAGTACGCATGCCAGTTTGGTTGATCGCCACTGGTCGCATCTGCGTCATTGTAGTCAGAAAAGATAACGCCCTGCATATATCAACAACAACAACAACTCAGTCAAGTTTTTGGCTCTCTCTACAGTACGTTACGAGGAGATTTCAGGAAGCAGGAAAGTCGGCAAGGGGTGTCTTGATAAAATTCGAGTTTCATTCTGTCTGTCCGTAATTGAGATTCCACTTTCTGAATTTGCTACATCTCCGTAAAGAAACATCAATGCGGTTAAGAAGGATCAATTTAGGTTTAGGTACCTACCCCTCCCCTAAGCTAACATTAACACTTACTTCTCACATAGGGCAAAATGATAGCTTAGGGGAGGGGTAGGTGGGCAGTTTCAAAGAATGAGAATTCCAACTGGCCGGAGGTAAACCTGTTGGCTATTATTTACACGCGTGGTCGAGGATTTGAACTCGGTACTACCGAGAAAAAATCAAACCAGTGGTCCGGGCAGGACTTGAACTCGGGACCTCCGAATTGTTAGTCCAGTGCCCTAACAAGGACAAACACAGCATCACATGCAACACAATGCAACTGATTTATTTTTAAGCTAACATAGGTTTAAGTTGAACCTAACTTACCTTAAAGTCATCATTGTTTGAAAACTTAAATGACTGGATCAAGTTCCATGCAAAGTTGGGTTCGGAGTCAAAGTCGCAGAATACTTTGAAGACTCTATCACTGTCATCAATGATTGTGTACAATCCAGATTTTCTTTCTCCTGCAGCTTTATAGGCCTGGCAGCTTTTTCTTTCAAACTCACAGTGTCTGCCAAAAAACTTTGCTGGACAAGAACAGTTGTACCGAACACTCGTGGGCTCACATATTTCTGTACATGTTCCTCCATTCTGACAAGGATTATTCTTGCAGCAGCTATTAATGCATGTGACTTCACCATCACATGGCGTCACATTGTGTCTCTGAAAAAAATGGATATAGAAAGAGAGATGCGATGAGAAGTATTATTCATGTGAACTAGTTAAGGATGAACAAATGTTATAAGTGATAGTGGAATCCTCGAATCGTGACATAATAGTTAACTCCCAGGAAAAGGTTGATCAGCCATTCACGCATATGACGTCACTACCACATGACATTATGTTAAAGAACCCAAAAACGCAATTTTGAACGTGAAAATAAAGTTGGAAAATAAATGGTAAATTTATTACCGAAACTGGAATAGTTGCCGAGAAGGTGTTACTGTCAGCAATCAGTATTCTAAAAAGGAGCAACCACCCTGTTCAAATAAGTTTAATCAAAACGTTTTAGTGTTATTAAAAATTGTACTTTTTCCTATGATTATGTTAACGAAGGAAATTGTTACAAGACTCTTCTGTTGCCGGACGGACTCGGACTGTTATGGAACTAAACTTGTATTTCATAAACAAAGTCTTTTTATGGATATTTTCGTTAACTTTCGATTCTTGCAATTCTCTTGATTTTTGTAACCATCAATCTTTTCAACTGATCAATCTTTCTCTTTGCTTTAAGCCGGTCACACCTGTTAAACTGGAGTATTTAATGAAAAAAAGTCTTGTAATCACTTTCTCTTCAGTAAGATATGATTGCTGTCTTGTACTATTTGATTAAGCGTGTTATCTTGTGAATAGTTCGTTAAAATTTAACGATAAAAGATGTAATAGTATTTTGTTCAGCTGTCTTGCTCTTGCATAAACTCGCCTTTTTTAAACCATGAATATTTATAATAAACTTGTGATAGAAGTATTATTGCCAAACTGACCCTTGTAATTTTTCCTTTAAGTCTGGCGTTGCGTTTCTACGAAGCAGTTCACTTCTAGCATTGAAAATTTACGAAATGCATTATCTTTGCGATGACGCATCAACAGGTCGCAGCTGTCCTCTCGAAATTCATGAACTGAATATGAATGACAGTTCACGACGTTTTTGCTTACAGAAAGATTAGAAAAGTCCTAACTGGAGTCCTGGCTCAAGTCCAGGCTCGAAGTTCTGGCTCGAGTCCTGGCTCGAGCCCTGGCTTTGATGTTAGATGATCTCGGCATTTCCCGTTTCTTGTCAGCAATGTGCAGGAGGTGGTTCCCTGGCCAATCAGGAGATCGAACGTGTTTAGTTATTATTGTTTTGCGCGGCCTTTCTCTGCCATCAGCCTGTACTGTCATCCCTCTGACCCTTAGTTGACAATTTTTCCCACCACCTCCCCAGACTCCGACCTGCCACTGTCCACATCTTCTTAAAAAAAAATTATTTTCTTTATTTAGTAGTCAGGATTTGCTAATTCGTGGCGGTTTGTTGTTCCCACCTTTCCTGAGGAGGTGTTGATTAGTTAATTTTATCATATTGGTTGCAAATAAAAATGTCACGCTTGTGGCCATTTATCCCAAACAGTTGAGATTCTTGCTTGGGTCATCTCTTTAGCAAACCAGTGCGCCACCATGCGAAGCTCTCGATCGTTTTCGTAAATTCGGTTTGGAAATACTCTCAATAAAACGTGATATATCTTTTGAATAGAAAGAGAACTTGACTATTTTATTTAGAAGAATAGTAAATTTATTTAATTGACTGGCGTAGAGTGATTTGTTGTGTAATCAATTAATTTCTATTATTTTTGCAAAAATATATGTTCATCCCAGTGTCCAAAAAAATTTCTCTTTCTGAACCTGTTGATTTTTTCCACATATTGTGGAACGAGGAGCGGATTCTAAGAACTCTATAACGCATTTCGAAAAAAAGTTCCTTTATTGCTTTTTTAATTAAAACGATTAAGTTCATTTTATCAGGCATTCAACTTGAAAACTCATCAATATATTCAGAAGACATTTTGTCAAAATGACTCCACCACAAATTATCATCTCAGGAATACATCAAAGATTCGCAAATATCTCACCCAGGACTCTGCTCAAATTCTCATCGATGCTTTTATTAGTTCCAAGCTTTACTACTGTAACTCACTCCTTTATGGTATTCCAAAATACTTAGTTTGTAGATTACACCGTGTTCAGAATACGGCAGCTCGCATTGTCACGTTAACGAGGAAATATGATTCGATTACCCCAATAATGTTCACGCTACACTGGCTCTCCTCGGTCTTTACACTCCAGTGGGCAAGAACTGCTCACTGTGCCACTGGCTAAACTAAAGACTTATGGAGATCGGGCGTTCAGCATTGCTGCACCAAGGCAATGGAATAACTTGCCTCTTAGCATTCGTAAATCTCCATCAATTGCTATTTTTAAAAGACATTTGAAGACTTATCTTTTTAAAGAAGCCTATGGTTTTTAACTTTTATTTTTAATACACGTATTTTTTTTCTTTCATTATCTGTAATTTTATCTTAGTATTTTTAGATCTTAGATTTTTAACTTTCATTTTTTGTATAATGTATATATATTTTTTTTAGCTTTGTAACTAATTTATCTCGGTATTTTATTATATTTTTTAGCTTTTAGGTTCTACGTTAACTTGATCATTGTAAAGCACTATGAAAGAGTAGCTGAATAGCGCTATATAAATTATTATTATTATTATTATTATTATTATTATTTAATCACACATTGGGACCTTCATACCCGGTAAAAAGTCAGCAAACTGAAAAGTCACTGGGAGAGCTTTGAATTCAGCCTCAGGTTAATACAGGGGTAGAATAAATGACAAATGGCTTTTTCTGGATGAACATTTTGTATAAAGAATACTAAATAAACATAGAACGGTTCTCCTAATTCCAATAGGCCATTCTCACTAAGAGGTCATGTGACATCGTTTTTTATGAAAATGAAAGCTATATGATTTTGCCTTCGAAAAACGATTAGTGGGTCATATCTTAAACAAAATGATGGTGATTTGGTTTTTTAAACCCGCACCAATTCCTTAAAATGAATAAGTTCGTAAATGGTCACATGACCAAACTGTAATTTTAAAACTATGAATTACCTCTCTGTAAAACACTCTGAAGAAAACTCCGTCCTCGGGGAAGTCTCTTATTAGAATTTATTCACTCAAGTGAGTGGGGTGGGGGTGAGCGCTTATTCGAGTTTGATTGGGAGGAGGAGGGGGTGGGCGCTTATTCGAGACTGGGCGCTTATCAATTTCTTCTGCCTTTCGGATGGGCGCTTATTCGAGGCGGGCGCTAATTCGAGGTTGGGGGCTTATTCGAATAAATAAGCTAAACAAAAAGTAGTTTTGGTCGCCATGTTGAAGGGCAAGAGCATGCCCTCCAACACGGCGGCCAATACAAATCATACTACTTTGTGGAAAAATCAAAGTCCCATAAAATATCTCCCTTAAATGCGTTTCCTCTCAAATTTCGGGTGTGAGATAATTTTTATGTGTTCTAACAATTTTTGGCATCAACAAGATTCTAACTCATTGTTTAAAGGAAGCATGGGTCACGTGATCTCTTCGTGCAAGTGGCCCATTATATCAAAAGTCAAAATCTAACAAAATCTACCTACCGAAGCGAAAAAAAAATCCAAAAACACCGTCCACCGGTCAGAACTTATATTCTAAAACTAAATACGAAGTTTTCTAAACCGAGAAGACACCAAACTGCGGTTCACGTACTACCAATGCCAAATGCCGACTCACAAACAACATAATATAATTCGTACCAGTTTACATTTCCGTATAAATGTCATTCATGTCGCGTTGCGGTCAGCCTATAAAAAGCGACACTCTACTGTGAGCATTTTGTTTTCCTCTTGTACGGCCGGTTGTGGAAATCTCTTTCATTTGGATGGCCGTATTGCGAAAGCCAGTGATGAACGCTTATTAACCGTAACTTCAGATGCAAAACTTACATTTAATTGCATACTATTTCTGCCAAAAATTTGTTTGTTTAACTGCTTTTGCTTGACATTTTTCAAGTCAACACGTTTAAAAAGAGAGAAGGCATTTATATTTAGCAGTCCTTTTGAAATGAAATACTCCGGAGACGTTTTTGAAGCTATTCAAAGTACTCGGCACAGAACGTTTTATCAGTCGTTAACGGATTCGAGCGCGAACACTGCTGTTCTTGTCTTAAACATTACAAATTTGTCTTTTATATAATTACTTAGATACAAAAGACAAACAATTGACTTGACCATAAGTATTGCCCAAAAAAGTTGCAAAGATTATATACACCATGATATACGTTTTTATACCTTTTGGCCGCTGAATGCCCTGCGAAGGTTGTAAAAACGTGAACCCGGAGAATGTTTGATAGAGCTCGGGTCTGTATAGTGGCTGGCTTCATTCAAGTCGCAAACGTTTCTTCCATTATTTTCCTTGTAGTTGAACGACAAACACCGACAATCATCAACACACAGGCTGTGGCAATGAATTGGGTTTCTCGTGGCAAACTGATGAAAAACATGGCCAACTAACTCAAAGTTTTCCACTGCATCTCCGTAGATATCGAGGGAATAAGTTTGACATTTTCCCTCTCTGCATTGATCATTAGCTTTGAAAAGTTTTAAGAAGAGCCCAAAGTAGAGGGAAAGAAATATCAATAATCTCACTGCTGTCATCTCTTCGGAAACAAGTGCTTTTCATGAATGTCAAACCATTATCATTTCGATTAATTTCGCACTGGGGTGCATGCAGCTGTTCTGTATGTCATAATGTCATAATTTTTTCATGGGATTCTTTCCATAAGTATATAATATATATTTATTTACAAATACGGAAACTAAATTAGAGAAATTATCCTCTGGAAAATAGTTGGGTCGATTTCTTTTGCAAAGCACTGACCTGAAGACCCACAGTGCAACAATTAGCGAACTTTGTCATCTTGAACTCTTTGCTACGGACAAAAGAGTTCGTCCCAGGCTTACAATCGCCAAGTAATTTATAATGACCCTTTATCTTTAAAATTATACAGGTTTGAATCATCAGCACTCTATAGAATAATAAAACCGCGCGACCAATCTTGAGATCTGTCCAGACGAATGCAGCGCATTGGCAAACCCCTCTGCCATCTCGTTTGAATTTTGGGGCGAATGATGGCAAAATTCGCCACTTTTGCCAAATATGCCATTTTTCTCAAAATTGTTGCTCTCAAAGGGAAACCTTTGCATATAAAATTTCGTCAATCCTCCGGCGATTTTTTGCCTCCGGCGCCATTTCCGCCATTACTTGCATGTTTAGACGTAACTGACAAACTACCCCTATTACCCAGTTGATGAAATACAAGATTTTAGGCAAATTTGGTGGATTAAATCTCACATTTTCTAAGAAATAGTACTAGAGAAAGGTGAATGACGCGAGTGTTGTCATCTGCGAGCGCTATGGCGTGTAAAAATCCAAACTATATTTTCCCTGAAGAGATACCCTTTAAATGTTATCTTTGTATACTTTCTCTCAGTATTAAGAAAAAAAACCTTTGCAATCTGTGAGGTAAAAACAAAATATAGTCGCGTAGAAATTGATGCGTACTGCCTTGAGTGCGCGCTAACTTCCGTGAGGATTCTCCTGTGGGAAAATTCAGCCAATCAGAGCGCGAGATTTTTATGTGTAAACAAACGGTGACAAGTGAAAGAGAGAATGATTTCACTTGCGTTTTGTCCAAATTCTAATAACTTCCCTTGCCTTTACTGATTACATAGTAATATCATGGGTAAAAAAATTATCGTATCGAGAACTCTACACACTGTTCTCTTAAGTTTAGAGGTTTAAAGTTTGGCTTAAGTTCAAAATTTTCAGAATTTTTCGACAAAATCCCAGATAAAATCCTTCTTGATGTGCTCTTTCGTGTGTTTGGGGTTTCTAGAGGGTCTTTTAATGCCCTGGCACCTTAAGGTGACTCGACCCCGATTTTTTTTGGGGGGTACCATCCTACTTTGAGGCTCTCTAGAATCCCCACCTTTACTTTTATCGTAAGTCTAACACATAGAATGGATAACATATAGATCAATCTACAATGTAACATAAACTTTTTGGCGATCGGAGTAAATGTCACGTTGTTATAATGCCACGCCCCTTTGAGGTCTGAGTCGAAAATCTGCTGTTGCCGGCATTTTTTCGGAAAATCCCTCGGCTACACATAGTGCGCATTAGTGCCTTGCGCTGAACAGAGTCTCAAATTTTCAGCGTTAATTTATCACTGTCCAAGTGAAATTACAAAATAGTTTTAAAATGTTAAAAAAGATATGAGGGCATTGAAAGACCCTCTAGAAATCCTAAACAAACAAAAGAGCACACAAGGAAGGATTTAAACAGGTATTTTGTTGAAAACTTCAGAAACTTGTAGACTTAAGGTAATTCCCTTGAAATTGTTCTACTATCAAACATTAAAAAAATGCAATAAAAAGATGGGGTCACTGTGCTTGTTTACGCGTCAGCAGGCTCTTAAACTGGGGTATCTTTACTGGTTGCGCGTTAAAAATTGGAATCCCCTTCTTACAGAGTTAAGTCTTTGTTACTTGAAACACAAAATTTTATCTTGAACATAAAGCGTCTTTTATTCAAATAAGCAGTATTGTTTCATTTAATTTGTTTTTGATTGCCTGGTTGTGGGGATATTGCACTTTTTCGGACAGTTCCGTGGTTACCTTGAAGTCCTCGCCTTAACCCACGACCCAAATACGGCAAATACGAAACTATTTTTCCCAAAAAAATCATGCTCTACTATCAAACTTTTTTTCTTCTTCAAATATTTTCTTTATTAGACAGTCCTTAGCAAATACCTGGGAAAGAAATCGGGGGTTACCGTACTTGTTTCGTCACAAACTGGTGTGAAAGGTGGACGTGGTTTTGAGATCGCAGTCAGGATAGATAATTTGCCCGGCGGCGGGGACTGGGGCGAGATACAAAATAACGCCCATCGTGTTTGAATAATGCACTCGAGATCAAGCTTGTTTTCGGTTGTTTTTATGTGTTTGATATCGCCAACACAGAAATTCAAACTTGAAAAGAGTACGTTAAATACCAAGGAATGAGGTAAGTCAAGATTTGATGAGATTTTGGAGTTATGAATATTTTATCTGATCCACTTCCACTGAAATATGGAGTCCCTCAGGGATCAATATTGGGTCTAGTCCTGTTTACTATTTATGTGAATGACCTGTTGTCTGTCCCTACTTACTGCAAATCGGCCTGTTATGTTGATGATTCTAAACTGTACCTGTCCTTACCCTCATCTGACATGTCCACTGCAATTCACAATCTAAATGCGGACCTGGAACAAGTCTCCAGATGGTGTTGCCAAAACTCTTTATTGATAAATCTTGATAAGACTAAAGTTTTAATGATCGGTACGCCTCAACGCCTTAATAAGCTGCCCACAGCATCTGTACCATTGCTTGGAAAAGAAATGACACCCTCTACTGTTGTTAAAGATCTTGGCATTTATATTGACCAATCACTAACTTACAACGAACACAGTCTATATTTGCCTACATAAACTCGTACAAATCAATAGAATAAAACACTTGCTAGATAAGAAAACAATACTTCTCCTTATGAACTCTTTCGTTTTTAGTACGTTATATTATTGCTCAACTGTTTGGTCAAATACTAGTAAACATAACATCAACAAACTTCAGTTAGTGCAGAATTTTGCCGTCCGTGTTGTTCTTGGCCTCAAAAAGTTTGATCACATCTCACAAGCTATTAAATCGCTAAATTGGCTGCCTTGTTAATGACAGAATTTATTTGAACGATGCAGTGATGATGTACAAATATATTAATAAACTTGTGCCTGACTACCTAATCGAGAAATTTACTCTGCGTTCACAAACTCACACTGGAACTACTAGACAATGTGATCAACTGAACATTCCAAGGTGCCGCCTAACCACTGGTCATCGGTCCTCGGTGCTAAGCTCTGGAATAATCTAAGAGACAATGTTAAATCTTCAGATTCTGTCAAAGTTTTTAGGAAAAAAATTGTCAACCTACTTTTCTCTGATCAATCTATGAATTTGTAAAAAGTGAATGATCCGTTGTATTTCACTTTTTTTTTAAACGTATATTTATTATCTTAGTTATTTGGTAATTTATTTAGCTATTTTAGTTGATTAGTTGATTAGTAGCCTTGTAACTGAAAAACCCTCTTTAGGGAGTTGCAATAAAGTATGTATGTATGTATGCATGCATTTTGGACTATTTTGTAGCGCCGGCGTTCTGTTTAATTCCAATGAGCTAGGGTTCGATGTTTCTGCTTTTGCACAATAATGCTTTACAAAGAAACTTTAAGAAAAGACTGTCGATTCCTATTCTTCATATGTTCGCTTGCTTGGTTTCTATACACAGCAAAATGTGAATTCGGCAGCAAACTCCGTATTTACATCAAAGACTGGTCTCCCTCGCGTGGTACTGGTGCTACGGTGGGTCTTATTTGTTCCAGAAGTATTTGTTTCTCCACTCTCGGAGTTTGAACAACATATGTACAGTACATCCTTTATCTACACTGCTCGCTAGCCTTCCCTTATTTCTTTTTGTACTGCAGTATCAAAATCTAAAACTCGCCAAATCGGCTCCGAAATTGCTGGAGAAGCAAATTGAATGTAAGACACATAACACAAACAAAAGGTATTTCATTTTTATTTCGAATCTTTTCAAAAAAGAGGAATTTAGAGCGTAGTTTGTTTGTTCTCACACCATTCTCTTACAAATTGAAATTCCAACGAACCCCCATATCATCAGATGCCATATATAGAGTCTGGGCTGCCTGTGGTGCCCCTTTAATCCTAATTCCTAAGGTATTTAACCGAAAATAAATAAAGTTGGCCATTTGTTATCAGGACCACCCAAATACCAGAAAATAATGCAAAAATTCAATGTAACAAAAGGGGATAAATATACGGTTGTATAAATACTGCATTTTTATGTAAAAATCCTGCTTTTTTCGGAGCTATATAACTGTAAAATTTGCTTTTTTACAAAAATATATTTTTGTAAGAAATGTGCTAATAGTTTTCAGAGTGATAAATCTTAAAAAAAACAATCAAACAAACTCAATGCTTTTAAGTCATGAATAAACAGCTCGTCGGTGTTGATAGGGAGTATATTGCATGATTATTATTCAAAATATTTCTCCGTTTCTAATTCTTCATGACCAGCTGGTTTTGATCACAGTTCGGGGACATTTGCGATATCCAGTAAAATGACCTTAATGTTACAGGGTATTTGGAAAAAAGATTACGGCAACCGAGAAGCCCTGGCCTCAGTTGTTCGAACGCCGGTTAGCGCTAACCCGAGGTTAAATTTTAACCACGGTGTCTTCTTCTTTTTATCAAAAGCACTCTCTCGGATAATTTTCTCTATTCTTTATAGATCTAGCTTAGAATATCTAATCACGAAATTGTAGGCAAAGATAAGTAAACTGCATTTGCTTTTTAAGCTCTCATACCAACTCTGGGTTTGATATTAACCCAGCTTTGAGCCGACCAGGCCCAGGCGACTAGGTTGCGTTCGCTCAGCTGCATTGGTAGTGCTAGAGAAAATGGTGAAAGATTTTACACGTTTTGCCAAGAAGAAATAGCCGATAGGACTACTTCCTAAAAACATAGCAAGAGTAACTCGACAGATGACAACAAGGTACCGTAAAATTCCGAAAATAAGCTCCTCCATGTACAAGCCCCTCCAAATATAAGCCCCACAAATTCGTAACGCAAAAAACCCTCTGTTAAATCGCCCCTCCGAATATAAGCCCCCTGGGGGCTTTTTCTTGGAAATTGCCCTCAAATACAAACTAAAACAGAGCAAAAACGGTCAATTTCCTTCCAACTATAAGGGTAGCCCAATCGATTTTGAAACGCAAATTTCCCTCCGTAGATAAGCCCCTCAAAAAATAAGCCCCTCAAAAAAGGCCTTTGAAAAATATAAGTCCTGGGGCTATTTTCGGAATTTTACGGTATTTGAAGAATATCAGCTCCGAGGCCAAACATCCCATTTAATTCTAAATTTGAGGGTAACAGCCAAATGAAGACGGAAACTTTATATCGATCGAGGTGGCTTGTTTTTACTTGTTTATTTGAATG